AAATCATTGGGGAATGTCATGACGCGGAAGGTCACTTTGGTTTTAAGAAGACGTACGTTGTTGTGCATGAGCGATTTGAATGGAAAGGAATGAAGGAAGATGTACCAACCTATGTGCGGACTTGTCTTGTCTGTCAGAGGAACAAGGGGGGGACCTATTGAGACCGCTGTGTATTCCAAGTGAGTCAAGTGAATCTATCTCTATTGACTTTATGAGCCTCACTAAGAATCGAAACGACAACAATCAAGTAATGCTCATTGTCGATAGATTTTGTAAGTATGCTATGTTCATTCCTTTGCCTGCTGAAGCTAAAACCGAACTCGTCATTCAAAAGTTTCACATGCAATGGGTCTTTGAGTATGGATTTCCCAAAACCATCGTATCAGATAGAGATGTTCGGTTCACCAGTCTACAATGGCAGAAGTTGATGGAAGTATATGAGACCAGGTTGACCATGTCGTCAGGCCGACATCCTGAAACAAATGGCCAAATTGAGCAAATGAATTGTCTTTGCCAACAACTTTTGTGAATGTATGTCCGTCCTGACCAGATTGATTGGGATGAGAACTTGCCTAAAATTGTTAGTGCTTACAATAACAGTATGCATACTGTCACAGGTAGAACGCCTAATGCACTGCACAAAGGATGAAAGCCTAGGCGTCTCATTAATGCATTAACACGGGACCAGGTTCAAAGGCTACCCCCAGGTACGCGTGAATTTGCAGTTCTATATGAAGAAGGCATTAAGAAGGTGAAGGAAAACATACAGAAAGCCTAGTTGCAAATGATTGAAAAAGCTAATAAACATTGTCGTCCTTCACAATTCCAAGAAGGGGACTTTGTCTGGGTTAAGTCTAAACTGCTACCGTATGTAGAAAGTGATAACTTTCCGCATAGACCATCTCCATTTCCACCCTCTATGAATGGAGGCTTTGAAGTTGAAAGGATATTGGAACATGGCTATTTTTCTACAGGTGGCAGAGGACGACCTCAGAAGCAGTACAAGGTAAAGTTCAAGTCCCAACCCCCATCTGAAGTCAGATGGTTTACTAGGAAAGAACTCCTACCCACTGCTCCTGATATTGTTGCTGCATATGAACGTGGGTTAATTGAGACTTAATGAATTTTCTGCAATGGAACTCGAAAGCCGGGTCGGCAGGAATGCAATAACTCATGCCATATGTCTCGTAGAAACTGAGGGTCTCAGAGGGCCTACCTGGCAGCCCTCAGCCCAGGCCGAACAAGGACAAAAGGCCATACACGAATTCAGGGCCTGGGCGTGTGACAATTGACTTTAGTCAACTGTCGGTCCACCCAACAGTCAAAGTCCAAAGGTACCTAGTCCAGGCCGCTGGTCAAGCACACGCATTTGTTTGTATGCAGGTACCCAGACAGCATCAGGTCCAAGGGAGAAGTCTGCAACTGTATCATCCGGGCCTTCAGATGTGAGTCAATCTGGACNCATTTGTTTGTATGCAGGTACCCAGACAGCATCAGGTCCAAGGGAGAAGTCTGCAACTGTATCATCCGGGCCTTCAGATGTGAGTCAATCTGGACGACTGAGGAAAGAGGACCAAGGTCGGACAGCCTCGACATCTGTTACTTAAGGCTGGCCTCAAGAGAGTCGAGTATTCAGTCTTGCTATGCTGCTTTGACGCTAGCTCGACTTTGACTAGACACTGGCTTCATGCTGACGCGATACTGGCTACACGCTGGCTGTGCGCAGGCGTTGCGGACGACAGCGCAAGGTGGAGGCAGCATGCTGGTGTTCCTTCTGTGCGCCAGGCAATGCTGATGTGGCGCTGCCTCTGGTCTTCCTGGCATGCTGATGTGGCGCTACCTATGGTCTACATTGCATGCTGATGTGGTGCTACCTATGGTCTACATTGCATGCTGATGTGGTGCTACCTATGGTCTACATTGCATGCTGATGTGGTGCTGTCTATGGTCTACATTGCATGCTAATGTGGCGCTACCTATGGTCTACATTGCATGCTGATATGGCGCTACCTCCGGTCTACATTGCATGCTGATGTGGCGCTATCTCTGGTCTACATTGCAAGTTAACGTGGTGCTGCCTCTGGTTTTCGGTGCATGCTGATGTGGCGCTGCCAATGGTCTTCATTGATGATGTGGCATATGCCACCTATCGCGACTGCTGACGTGGCACTGTCCACGCTGTCTACATGAGGTGACTAGTTGTGAGGAGGAGGAAGGTCGGGATCTGTGGATGAAGGAGGACGGGTACTCACCTGAGGTTGACGTCATCACTGGTTTCTATTATATCTTCATGGTCTTCACGAGATCAAGTGCCACGTGGCACTACAGTGTGTGAACAGGAATATACTTATTATCATTATTGACGTGGAGAGGGAAGAAGCCCGGAGAAGGAGAGGGATCCGAAGGGATTATTACTGTGTGATCTCTCATCTTCTCCTTTGTCTGTTCCCCCTCCTCTCTCTTTCTTTTGATGGTAATGAAATACTGTAACATTACTGTTTGATTTATCATTTCACGATTTGGAAACTTTGATGCAGAGGTTGAGACTACTGATGTTTGACGACTTCTGAGTATCTGCCAGTGTTGCATACTGTAACGGTGCAGACCAGAACAAGAACCCACCTCTCAATACAAAGTACAAGATAGCGTAGCGGAAGACTTAGATACCAATGATCCGAACAATCAATATYGCAATGCAGCCCTGAACACACATCATCATCATCGTTCCATGGTGTGAAAGGGGTCTGGCGCTTCACACAGGAAGACTGCGCCAGCCCCAACCATACACAGACGAAGAAGAAGGGGATTAGACGAAGAGGAGGGGAAGATGGGAAAGTCTTCGGCACAGGCCCAAATAGTCCCTCGTCAAAATATCTGAATCCCAAATGTCGAGTCTGGATCCAATGTCGTCAAGTCCCAAGTCACAACTCTCTCTCTCTGTAGTAGTCTGCTGATACTGAGAAGTCAGGTGGTGAGAGGGGAAGAAGAGATGGTGGACATAGAAGAGGAAGAAGAAGAACTCTCTCTCTCTCTCTGTGTGTCCAGTACTAACCTGTGAAGATGGCGCCTTGATGCAGGTACCTCGAAGATGGAGCTGGAGCTATGGCGCCACAGGTAAGTCTCGCTGGCCTCCGCCAGCCATCTCTCTCCCACACTACCACTACCACCTACTAGCGCCCAGCGCTGAAGACTACTGCTATGGCTACTAGCGCCCAGCGCTGAAGACTACTGCTAGCGCTAAGCTACTCCTAGCAGCGCTCCTCTTGAGTGCTACGGCCGAATCCTGAAGACTACTCGTCCTACTGTCCAACTACCTACCCGTGAAGTGCATGGTAACTTCCTATGTACTACCGGGTGCCTCCTGACTGCAGGCGAGGCAGTCCAGGAGGCTGCTCTTGCCAATGCCGAAGAGAGGCAGGGGCTGCAGCTGCAGCTCCTGCTCGAGCTGTCGTGGGGAACAGGCTAAAGATAGCCTGTTCCAAAAACCCTGTTTTTGTGCCAGAGTCCTAGGGTCGGTCGAAACAATGAGGGCCTGAAAATGGCCCTCCGTTTTAGGCTGAAAAGCCTCTGGGCCAGAAATAGGCTGAAAACGGAATAGGGCCTGCAGGCCCTCGTTTTTCAGTTTCAGGCTGAAACGACCGGGGCCTGTAAGCCCTATTTTCTAGGCTTTTAGGCTGAAAGTGCGGGACGGGCCCTGCAGGGTCCGTGTGGCTACGCAGTATGCCACACCCCCCCYTCCTTGAAAGACCGAGCTTACCTGCGAGGGCGAACCTGTCTGTGTGAGGGAGGGACCACAGTCCGGGTGGGAGGGGCCGGTCTTGAAGCTTCCTGAGCTAACCTTTGCTTCTCATAATGCGCGTAGATCAGCGGTGCGGATGCTTTCGAATCTGCTCCTGAAATCCACCGAGTGTCGTCGCGATTGCAGGCTTTGAATGTAACCTTGTACTGTCGTGGCTTGCTGCCGTACTTGCGATCGGTAATGACGCAGTCAACTTCCTGATGACCATCCATRGAAGGAGGGTCCTGCGATCGTCGGCCCGGAAAGTCGTCGTTCTTAGCTGGCGTGTATGTTGCCAGCTTTGAGGCGTGAAAGACTGGATGGACTGTCAGATGCGGGGGGATGTTGATCACAAATGAAGGGCCATCGAGCTCATCACCCGCGGCTGATGTTACAGGCCATGGTCCAAACCACTTGGGAAGCAGTTTGCGTGAGACATCCTGTTCCAGTGCAAACTCTTCCGCGGAAACCCAAACCAGGTCGCCGGCGCGGATGGGACATGGTACGCGATGTCTGTTGGCTTGCTGCTGCATGCGGACTTGAGCCTTTTGCCTATTCGCGCGGGCTTGAGCCAACAATTCCCTGTACTTCCGGACAGAAGCGGGAGAGCAAGCGGCATCGATGTCGACTGGTCGTGGGAGGAGAAGGTCGGCGAAGATACGGCCTTTCCGTCCACCGTGGTGCAACTCGAATGGAGTCACGCCGATCGCCGGGTGCACCGAAGTGTTGTAGGCGAACTCGATGTCGGGGAGGCGGTCAACCCAATCTTTCTAGTCCGGACGGATGAGCGTACGAAGCATCATTTGAGCGGTTTGATGTGCCCGCTCCGTCTGTCTGTGGATGCCGAGCCGAACTTGGCTTCATCTTCGTGCCGGACTCCTGCATGAGTGCAATCCAAAATGCCGACATGAAGTGAGTGTCGCGGTCGCTGACTATGTCTTCTGGTACACCATGGCCGCAAATCCAACCAGTGTGCAGGAGGCGTGCCAGCTCGGGAGCCGTGGAGTAGTACTTGCAAGGGAGAAAATGCGCGTACTTACTCAATCGGTCCACGACCGTGAGAATGTCGTCGTGTCCGAGGCGGTCGCGGGGGAATGGTCCGGTGACATCCATGGCAATGGAGAGACCGGGTTGCTGCGGGATCGGCATCGGGCGCAGCTCGCCGTAGGGGTTGTGGTTGCGGGGTTTGCTTCGTCGGCAAACTTCGCAAGAATCGCAATACCTCGTGACGTCGGTGATGAGGTCGGGCCATCGGAATCGCTGTCGAAGCCGTGCAATAGTGCGGTTGACTCCGAAATGGCCGACGAGTCGCGAATCATGATACTCGTCGAGGAGGCGAGTCCGAAGACGATGGTCGCGTGGGACACATAGTAAGTCCTTGCCCCACGAGTGCAGGAGCAAGTACCCATCGTGCGATAGTGGCTGGCCGGCGGGTGATCCGAAGATGGTTGTGCATACAACGTGGCGAAGTCCGGATCAGACTCATATCCCCGGATGAAGTGTCGCTGAAGCTCCTCGTCGAATGCGAAGGCATGATGTGTCATCGCGCAAAGATCAGGTCTTCGCGAGAGTGCATCTGCTGCGCGATTGGAGAGGCTGGGAAGATGTTTCGGTGTGAAGTCAAATTGGTCGATGAAGTACATCCATCGTCCGATCGTGCAGCTCACCGTATCTTGCGTCTTGTAGTAGGTCAATGGATTGTTGTCCGTAACCCATGTGAACCTACGATGCCCAAGGAGGAAGTGCCGCCATCGCTTGAGAGCCATGACGAATCTGAGCGACTCCTCCTTCCTTGCATCATCAAGCGAGTTGATGGGAGGCACTTTGTGGCTGAAATACTCCACAGGGTGCCAGTCGTCGCCGTCGTGCTGTTCCAAGACTGCCCTAATGCCATAGCCGAAAGCGCCAGTCGTCACTCTCGTAGGCAGGGTGGGGTCATAGATGCTAAGGACGGGTGCCATGAGCATAGCCGTCTTAAGTGCTTGGAATGACCGGCGTGCGTCGTCATCGAATACGAATGGCACCTTTGGCGATTGTAATCTCGTCATAGGTGCAGCAATCCTCGAGTATCCGATGATGAATCGCTGATAGTAGCCTGCCAATCCCATGAATGAACGAACGTCCGTGGTGTTGGTGGGCTCGGGCCATACTCGTAGGGCCTCGATCTTGTCCGCAAGCGGACGGATGCCTTGCGGCGTCACGTAATGTCCCAAGTACTCCAGCTCCTGCCGCGCGAATTCGCACTTGTCGCGGTTGGCTTTGTACTTGGCCTGTCGTAGCCGCTCCAAAACGGTGCGCAGGTGTTCCATTCCAAACTCCGGCTGTACACCAGGATGTCGTCGAGGTAGATAAGTACGTATTGATCCAGCATGTGTCGGAACTCCGTCGTCATAGCCGCTTGGAAAGTGGCCGGGGCATTCGTAAGGCCAAATGGCATAACCAGCCATTCGTAATGCCCATATCGCGTCTTAAACGCGGTCTTGTAGCGATCCTCCTGCCGAATCTCGAGTTGGTGATATCCCGACTTGAGATCGAGCTTGGAGAAGAACTTGGCGCCGCCCAGTCGCTCAAGAAGATCGTCGATGCGTGGAAGAGGGCCAGCATTTCTGATCGTCTGCGCGTTGAGCTTGCGATAATCGATGCACAGCCGCAAATCCTTGTTCTTCTTCCGGACGAAGAGAACAGGAGCACCGTATGGCGATGAGCTAGGCCGAATCCAACCTTTCTCCAGAAGGTCGTCGAGTTGTGCCCGAAGCACACTTAACTCTTCCTCGCTCATTCGGTAGATGCAACCGCGCGGAGGTACGGCCCCGTCCTCGAGGATGATCTCGTGGCGGATGGGCCGATCCGGTACTACTCCGTGCGGGCCTTCGAACACGTCGCCGTAGGCGTCGAAAAGCTCGGTGATGCGTGGATCCGAAGAAGAGTCCGTCGATGAAGCGTCATGGGGCGGGAGGGCGTGGAGAAAACACACCCCCATCTCCTCGATGT